TTAAGCTTGGAAAAATGTTTTGGGGCGCATTTTAGCCGGTACGATAAACAATTTTTGGTTCAATTTCGAATGAATCGATAGATACAAATTATTGATAGAGTCTTTCCTAAGTGACAGTTGATGTCTGCTTTCTGACAGTTGTATTATATTGAAATGCTAAAATTACATCCCTTTATTTAACACCTGATACTATCAGTTACTAGTTATTTATTCAATAGAGCTGTCCTCCGAGTAATCATATATACAAAGTAGGGTAAATCAATGGTATTTACAATACCACGAACGACAATGTATACAAAAAAACATGAATGGCGGTATAAGTACTTGTGGGTAGAGCAGAAAGATAGAAGGTTTGACGTCAACGCAATTTACACTCTAATTTGGTATCTACTTCACATTAAATTTGTGTTTGGGTTGGAACTCAATTTGGATGAATAAATTTAACAGTGACGGAAGAATCTTGCTTGAAATTAGTAGATATTTCCCAAAATTTTGTTACAATGAGAAAATGACACGAATTGGTGTAATTGTGAAAGTTGGATCATCGTTCTTCAAATATTTGCCGTCCAAAATTAAATAATTACTTACACAAAGAAATGTTTGTACAAATGTTTTTATTGGATGAAATTAAATATGTAACATTACACACGTAATATATTAACAAATCTATTTTTTATTTAAATGTGTACCTTTTCTGCCTAATTTCAGATCCCAAATACCGTTGTACAAGTATTAAACATGAACTTTACTCAAAAAGTCGGTGACATTGTTACCGTTAATTAGATATTTCTTCTTCGACCATATTATTGCTATTACCAAATTCCTCTTTGTCTCCAGCCCCCCCCCTGCCCCCCTTCCTCCCTCTAAATATTTTATCTGCTTTTTCTTTAAAAGATTCCTCTTCTTCCCTTCGGCGATATTTCAAGATTTCCATCCCCCATGTCTCTTTAATGCAATTAATACATTTTAGCACGTATAGGTGTTAAAACGAATTTGACTTTTATCACAACAATAAATAAACAATGATTGTCAAGGAAACTATTTCATAAGCAATTAGATTGTAATGAAGAAATGTTAAGTATGCATTAATAACAATTTCTTAGTTCGTATTAATTAATTATTATGTTTGCGATTTCAGAAAAAATAGTATATGCACCTCGTAGTGAAAGCAAATTCCCGGACTTAAAGCTTTGTCGTCCGGGAATGCATTGCTTTTATTACTAGGTACACCATATACTAAATTCCTAAAATTAAATATTAACACCTAATGAACAACCCCTAACAGTCAACGATGCATGTAGAGCACCTACATATTGGCCATTGCTGTACATGCATGGTGTGAGGTGTGAATGCCCATCATTATGGAAGAAATATATATTATAGTTTATTATACGAATGATGTTTCGAATGTTTTACTTAAATTTATCTCACCCAAAATTAAAAGTATTGGCGCTAAATAACAATAACTTGTTTATCGAATCGCAGAATCCTATGTATTTAATTTAAAATACGTTACATCGATATTAAAAAAAATCTGTTACTGACTAACTATGATTCATACTAATTAATTAATGATTCATATTAATCAAATATTTTCCAGACATAGTTTTGTAAGTTGACGCCAACAGTCCAAAATTGAAATGTACAAACCAATAAAGCTCCTTTATCGGAACTATATAATCCGTACGATATTCGTTGAGATAGAATTATTCCAAGAAAAGAATAGACCAATAAAGTTCTGTTATCGGAACTACTGTAACAATTTACCACGGCAAAGGCGTGCCTTTAAATTTTCTGCCAATGTCTTTCTACCTCAGGTGACGAATGCGGTTAATTCCAAGAAAGTGACGCAGGGATCTTCTTGGAATTCTCTCTCAACAAACTATATTTTTTACAAAATTCCATAGTCCTCAGATTTTTCAGGGCTGTAAAAGCTAGTCAAATGAGTTCAGCATTAAATTGAATTGCTGCTACATCAATACCATTTTCAGCCTTTTATTCTATTTTTATAGAAACATTTTTAATATCGTACTACAAATAAAAGCAATAAAATCATCAAGTAACCCATGCATTTACTTAATTAACATAACAAATATATAAACATTTTGAATAATGTAATAATAATTTACCAATCTTACAATTAAAAGGGAGATATTATCTTGAAATGTTTCTCAGGGTATTTAAATAATTTAAATTTGAAACTGCCTCGGGAGCATTATAATTTTAATCTTGTTTAATTATTTACTGCTTAAAATGTACCCGTACATTTCCCGTACATCGTACCCTTAAAACACTCTTAAATTGTTACTATAAAATTACGTCCCTTTTATTACTTCTTATGGAACTTGATATTTTAGGGAAAAACATTTCTAAATTTAGAGTACGTAGGCGGTCTTTATGTGAAGATATAACTAGATAATCCTAAGTAACAGTAAGATATTTGATACTTTGTTATTAAATTTTGAAAGAATTGCTAAGGCTAATTTTTCGTGTTCAGGTGCGAGTATTTCAAATGCCTCCGAGGTTTTGAAACTGAGACGAGAACTTGATACATTAAAAGCTTTAAGCGTATGTAAAAAATATTCTGCATTATAATTTTTTGAGATGTAAGAATTGTTAGTGATTCTGGTTAAGGCTATGTAGCCAGATTTAAAAAAAATCGCAGTAGGCTGTGGATTGTTAACTGGATCATTAGAATTGTTTCAGCAAGTACATAAAAAAAAATTCTTCTGGGCCACACTGTAAGTAATATTGAAATATTGAAAATATTGAAAAATATGAAGCTAATTCAAATAAATTGAAAAAAAATCCTAAAAATCCCATCAATTGAGGTGAAACAATGTCCTTTGATAACAAGATCTAAGTATGCAAAAGATATTTAACTTTATGAGAATTCTTAATTATGATATTGAGGGTAACAATTCTTTACGAGGTACATGCCCCAAGTAGCATTGAATTATACCAGAATATGTGGTAAATAGATAGTAATTAATAATTAATTATAAGAAAATTTAAAAAATGATACATCTAAATATTATTAATAGAAAAACACATTAAAATGATTATATAATGTAACTAGGTATTCTGTTTTTTTTGTTCGACTAGTAGGTACCTTAGACAAAGACCAGGAAGGAAAAATGGACACATATTTTGTTTTCTGCGTACTAATAATGTGTCTTCACCATTGAATACCTTGTCCATAATGTGTTAGGACTGAATGATTCTGACTAAAAGATATATATAAAAATATAAATTATCAAAAATTAAAAATATTTCTTTAAAGTGGAAAAAGGTAATAAGCACCAGTTTTTGGAAATACCCCATTAATATAGATATATCTTGAATACATCGTGTATATATTGAAAAACTGTTTTCATTCTCATTTACATTTAATTATTAAATTTAAAATAAATATAAAATCAGATGTTTAAGTAAAAAATAAAACGTTGTATTCACCACGGGAGATACTAGGATGATTATGCCCTTAGGCGACTTGCTTGCCCTTAGCAACCGGTCGCCTGCGGGCATAATTATCCCCGTACCTCCCTTGATACATAAATAACTAATTCATTTCGTACTAATTCGTACTTTTTCAAAATCATTGGGAAAATCTGCCTACAGTATGAAATGAAATACATTATAGCAATAACCAATGACCCAAACTCTCATTTAATAATCTCAAATATTTAGAGGTTGCTCTACTGAGGTTGCAAATAAATTAAGTTTTCCTATTGATGCTTCTTTGATTTACCAAGTTAATGTGATACTTTTTGCTTGTCTGGAACCGATAAGTATTTTCTTTTGTGTTCATTTCTATTCAATTTTTTTTTCAATATCTTAATTGTTATGGGTTATACGTATACAGAGTGTCCTAATTTTTATCCAGCAGACTTCGGAAATGATATAATCAACCAATAATAATGATAGGTACTTTATTTATAAACTTATGTCACAATGTCAACCATTTTTGAGATACAGAGTGTTCAAGGTCTCCAAAAAAATAAATTTATTGTAAATGTCCTATGAAGTAACAGAAGTATTTGAACAAAGTACAAAGTATTGGGTTAAGTTTGCAAATACTGTAACATAAAGACATCGACAGTGGAATTTCTTCAATTTTTAGACTTTTTATACTTTCATGAGAATAAATTAATATAATATAATTTTTGGACTAAAGCAGGTTTAGTTAAATCGACTTATTTTGAACCGTACGATATCTGGTCGAGCGTTGTACAGACTCTTTGGAACAAGGGTCGGCAACTGGCGGACCGCGGTCCAGGTCCGGACCGCGGAAGGTAAAATACTGGACCGCCAAAATTTTTTTGAAAGCATAAATTACTCGAATAAATTATTTAAAAAATGTTTTTTTTACGTTTGAGTGCCAACCTTATCATTTTTTCTAGTATTTTACAATTGTGTGAGTTTTTGAGTTCTTAATGGTTAGTAAGCAGATTAAATTTGAGTCCAAATGAAAATTTGTAAGAAATATGAATTTTTTTCTGGACCGCGTTAAAAATTTTTAAAAGTATCCGGACCCCACCTAAAATTACTTGCCGACCCCTGCTTTAGAGGCACCCTGTGTATATAATGCTTTTGCTAGATCGCACCTTGAATATGGTTTGACTTGGTATTGGCTGCGCCATGCAAATTCGAAAAAACTTGTTCAACATCTCAATTATCGATTCAGTCAAAACTTACAGTTTAAAAATTGTGACTTAACCACTACAATATGTTAAAATTGAGTTCTAGATGAAATATTGCACATGTTTCAAATTGATTCGATTTCAAATTGTTTTAATCTTTGAAGGGAACTGGCTTTACGTGATTTTTTTTATTTAATTTCACGGCCTACTATTTCAAGGAAATGACAAAATCATATTGGGCAATTTTTTAAGAAGCTGTTTGCTAGCATAATCGATTTATACAAATCGAGCAATAAATCGAGACTTTTAGACCCAAATATTCACCGTTCGCTGCATCAACCAATCTGTCTGTTGCAGATATGGCAGAGAAGACGAGGAGGTAATGGGCCTGAAGTTCTGCAACGAGGCGATCATGTGTCTGGCCCAGCTGTACCCCCCGCACCCCGGCACCCCCGATACCATCACTCCCCTCCAGGTAGGAGCCCTTTAAGCCATTCATAATGTAGTATTAAGCCTATACGCGGCGCTTGCTCTAATTTGCTGATGATTTAGCGTGTGTATAACAGGTGCTCCATATTAAACATACATAAGGGGTAGATCATAGAAAATATAGTACAAACGTAGAATGAAATCTAACATATGAATAATGAAACTGTCATGGCGGCGTCACATGTTAGTTAGCTTCCAAAATAAAAGATGGCGCAAAGAATGCTAACCCTGTCATTTTGGGTTGGTTGGTAATGCAGTTTGAACTTTGCACGTATTTGAACTTTGAAGTTTGGCTTTCGTTATCTTGGGTTTCTTAGGTTATCCTCTGAAAATTGTAAACTATAGTATTGCAAGAATTGTGTTTATAATTATTTAGTGCTTAAGAGTTTTCTATTTGTTATTATATTATACTGGGAATACGATGTGTAAGTTTTAAGTTATATAGTTTTATTAAAAACCAAACCTATATCTTTACCAACATTATGTGGAACACTCATACTCATGTTACTTGTATTAATCGATTAGAAACAGTTCACATAAAATGTGCATGTAATTACATATTATTTAAGTTAAATATAGATAAAAATAATTATGTGTATGATGATAAACTCCAACTAATATTTTATAAAACCTTTGATACTTAGATGCTTACAAAATTTTTAATGGTGGTGAATTGGTTTCTTTATTCAGTTTGAGACATAGAAAATATACTGTTAATATTAAGGTTTGAAAGTTCCAAACTATATGAACTATTGAATTTAACCCAATATTGTACAAATATTCGGTTAGGTGTATACCTATCTCCGTGAGATTATTATAACAGTTCATGCATAATTTTTATATTTTTACAGCTTACTTACCAACTTATCAAGTTTATGAAGCAAATGAATTAAATCGTTGTCGTTTTTACCTACAATTAAATACATAACAAGAAATTGTTTTAATAGTACATGCATAACAACATTCTGTATAAATCAATTAGGATTTCTTGTAGATACAAAATAAACTTAAAATTATTAAAAAATGTTTTATTTCCTTATCGAAACCATTTACTAAGTATATCTTGGCAAATGTCAAAATTTGAAAAATACTATAATATAATAAAATAATAAATAAGAAATTGTCTGTATTTATTTGTGGCATTATAAATGTTATAATTTGGATATTTTGCCATAGTTTGAAGAAAAAAAAACTGGAAAAATAAACCCTTGTACCGATAGGGACAGTCAAGTGTCAATACTGAAAACTTTTGCCTAATAGTGAGATGCCAGAGACATACATCTACATGTATAAGTCTGGTTACGCACTGGAAAAACAAATACACATCACGATAACACTATGACTTTTCTGAAACCTCTAGTTTCGTTATCAAAGCAGAAGTAAATTAGAAAAGTACTGAATATTAGTTTTTCGTTACATTTTCTGTCTAACTAAATAATCTGTTCTCAAAAGTATTGACACTTGACTATTCCTATTTGTATAAGGGTTTACTTTTAAAATGTTTAAAATAATATCATATAGAGGGAAGTGAGAAGTCGTTTCCATACGATAGATGCCGCTGTAATCAGTTCACAAAGTATAAAGTCTTGCCTACTCATTAGGAGCTAAGTAGTAGTAAGCTTCCAAAACGTTACGTGGCGCTGTTTCGCGGTTTAGTGGCAATATTAGAGACATTTAATTCTACGTTAGTACTATATTTTCTATGGGGGTAGATGTATTTTTCCTTAAACTGCGGTTAGGTCATGCTCTTTGTACAGCGAAAGTTCTCCGTTAAAACGACAATAAATACGTATGTTATATTGAACAATATTTATTTTCAATTTGGTTCAAATGAAGCAAAATAGATGCGATTTACACCGATTTTAAAGAGGCATTCGATTAAGGGGACCGTGAACTACTGATATAGAAATTATGTCTGTATGGAGCAGCAGATGTTTATTATAATAAAGCTTATTCAGGTGTTCCACAGGTTCCAACTTGGGACAGCTACTGTTTCTTTACTGATTAATAATTGTAACACTTAAAATTAATTTAGCCGATTTCAAATAAAAGTGACACTTTCTGAAGTACACATTGAATTCCTATTGAATCACCTTTTATCTGATTTCAAACTAAATTTATTATTACTGTATCTTAAGCCAAAATTTTTCCCACAAATACTGAAAACATCAACGCAAAGATTTTTTTACTTCAAGTAAAAAGTCGGTGATTTGCACATACAGGGTGGGCCATTAGTGTGAGAAAATAAAATAACTCCCTTGTTATTCGTAATACAGAAAAAAAGTTTATATAAAAGTTCTACAGAACCAAAAAACCTAGAGGACAAAATTAATTTGAAACACACAGGGCGATGAGTAAAAACGGGACACGCCAAATATTACATTTTTTAAGTGGAACACCCTGTATATTTTTAAACATATGGATTTCTGAGAAAATTCTTTATATGGCAATATAAACAGTTTAACATTTTAGTGCGGGGTTGCCAAGTTATGTAGAAAATTCTTCGAATTTTGGAAAAAACATGACCTCGAAGAAGTTGTATTAACTTTCAACTACTAACACTTGGAGCAAAAATATTTGTCAGAGTTATAGGCAAATGTTAGGCAAAAACTCCTATATTAGCTAATATCGATATTTTATACAGGGCAGGCAAATGTTGCTATATTTTAAAAACTAACAATTTTAGATATAGAACATGCTTAATAAAAGTTGAAATGGACCGATATGAGATTAAAATAGAACAATAAAATACAGGGTGTTCCATTTGAAAAATTTTAGAAAATCAAGTTTAAACTTTCTAAAAATGATCGTTTTATAAAAAATGCCCTATATAAAATATCGATATTAGCTAATATAGGAGCCTTTGTCTAATATTTGTCTATAACTCTGTCTAATTATTTTGTCCCAAGTGTTAGTAGCTGAAAGTTAATACATACAACTTCTTCGTTCATGTTTTTTCCGAAATTCGAAGAATTTTCTACATAACTTGGCAACCCCGCACTAAAATGATAATCTGTTTATACAGCCATATATATCATTTTCTCGGAAATCCATATGTTTAAAAATATACATTGTGTTCCGTTTAAAAAATGTTATATTTGGCGTGTCCCGTTTTTACTCATCGCCCTGTGTGTTTCAAATTATTTTTGTCCATTAGGTTTTTTGATTCTGTACAACTTTTATTTAAACTTTTTTTCTGTATTACGAATAACAAGGGAGTTATTTTACTTTCTCACACTAATGGCCCACCCTGTATAATCTTTAATGTTTTTAATAATCCAGAGAGGATCGTTCTTAAAGGCAACTAAAGTGTGTCTCCAAAGAAACGCAAGATTTTATGTTAGGAAATAGTACATTGTGTAACGAGTGGGGAAAAGTTGCCAATAGCGCCACGCGGACGCAGTTGACGCACGAGCGAAGCGAGTGCGGAAAGCGTCCAAGTGGCGCTATGGCAACTTTTCCGAACGAGTTGCACATACTATTTTCTATCACAAGTGCGAGTCGTTATGGGACCTATAGTGTAGGGGGTTAGGTGCACTGGAAAGTGCTAGATAGTACAACAGCGTGATGTTATTTTCATAGCGCAACGCTCCAGCGTTGCGCTATGAAAATAACATCACGCTGTTGTACTATCTAGCACTTTCCAGTGCACCTAATCCCCTACACTATAGGTCCCATAGCGAGCTCGCGTGATAGAAATAGATTTTATTAATTGGCAAAGTTCTTACAAGTTTTTAAAGAGTAGACATAGCCATTAAATTTGAAAGAAGATATCGTAAAGATGACTCATCGGTATACTTTTTTAAAGAAAATTCTGTATCACGCTCTCGCATTTACCTGCTGCTGGATTTTGTTGATAACTCTCCGAATTTCTGCCTTTAATTCAGGAGTGATATTCATTTGAGCAGAATAAACTTTGGACTTTACACGAATCTCTAAAGGAAAAAGTCACATGGCGTCAGATCGCAGATCTGTGAGATGAGTCGTCGATTAAATTTATGCCGCAACAAGTGAATAGTTTCACGTGCCGTATCGCACTTGGCACCATCTTGCTGGAACCACATTTCAACCAAATCCATGCCATCCAAATGAGGCCACAAAACGTTAAATAGCATCTCTATCGTTTTCCATTGACAGTTACTGTGTTTCCAGCCTCCTTTCCAAAAAATAACGGACCAATCAACCCATCAGCGTAAAATCTACACCACACTGTCACTCTTTGGGTATAGAGTGGTCGTTTTTGAATGAAGGATTGTTTCTGTCCCAAATTCGACAGTTTTGCTTGTTCACATACCCACTAAGATGGAAATGCGCNCCGAACTTTACTTTTTTAAACTTTATTGTTAATTTTATACATTATTGGTCCTTGTTTCCTTTAAAGTGCTACCAACCGCATATCATTAAATTCAGTGTTTGTAAATTAGATTCACTTTAATTGGACAAAAACATGCGAAAAATATTTTACAAATATACAGGGTGGTCCGAATTTTATGCAGGAAACTTCGAGTGCAGAGAACTTTTAAAATAATATGAGTAGGTATGGCGACAGGTGAGCCAGACGGACGCCCGAGACGCCGGGCGTCGGGACGCCCGCTTGTGGCCTTCGGTAGTGTGCGATCGCGGGTCGCTCGGCCCCGATCGGCAGGTAGGTACAAGCGAGTTATGGAACTTGAGACTGGGGTAAGGTAAAATAAACATTAGACAATTAATTCATTTCGCTCGATCATAATTAACATATATCCGGCGCTTGATTATTTATAATTAATATAAAGATACAGGGGGTAGAAGAATAATATTTTAAGAATTGAAAATAGGTATTTTTTAATAATTGCATACCTACCTATGTTATGTCGGACTACATACACGTTGACAATTATTTTTAGATAATTGTTTATCAGAGAATGGCCATAATCCTGTTTACCAAGATTTCAGGTAAGTATTGTAACTATCTATCTCATCTTCATGAAAATGTAAAATTTCTTAAAT